TATTAAAAAACTTTTTTTTTTCCATGTGAAGCGGCCCTAGTTTAATAGCTTATATACCTAAAAATTTATCAGCCCCCCGCAACAGGAAGCCTATGCAGGCTCCTGGAGGGGTGCAGGATGGTGGTAAAAGTAGCTTTGATAATCCTTTCTCTAGGGCCGTAAATAGATTCTATAGCACTGCGCAAGCGAGAGGTGGTTGGCTCCTTCGGTTCAACTCTCTACTCTCGGAGACTAGATATTTAATAATAAAAAAATATGCAACTATGCATAGTATGTTTTCTGATTTATCTCTTATTATATATATTAGATTTGCTAGTAAACCTGCTAGTCTCTGGATTACACTTTATATTTTATTTTATATATTGGTTGTATTTATAAATTCTCCCTTAATGGAGGGATTTATAGTTAACTTTCCTATTGTTAGTTCAAATATTTGAGGGGAGGATGGTTTAGATCCATCTTTTTTAAATATGAATTCTGGGAATAGTTCAGGGAGCAATCCTGGAGGCTATCCAAACACAGGAGGTGGCAATTATCCTGGGGGCCCGGGGGGAAACCCGGGTGGAGGTCATCATGTTCTTGCTGCAGGAAGTCAAAATAATCATCATAATAGAGATTATTTTAACACTATACTAAGTGATAATCCCTCTAGTTCCAATTCTGGACCTCCTTTAGGAGATAATAACCAAGGAGTTGGACAAACCCACCCCACCGCAGCGGGGGACGGTGTTGTTCAATCATCTCCTCTTAATTACCCTACAGAGGGAAATGTTGCCGAAACGGGTAGATGGTTAGAGAAATACAAGTCTGAATGTGTGCCGGCAAATCGTGACCGAGTAAGATGGAGTGAGCTCTTTAAACATTGTAAGACTATAGACCCTAATGGTAGTACACCTCTTAATCAAATTATGCTTACTATAGAACATCATATCATTTCTAAACACGTGCCTGTTCCGCTATTTAGAGATTTTGTCAGAGCTAATACTTTTATAACTGATGAATTAATTGAATCTATGAAAAAGAGCTCTAATTAACATATTGTTTTTAAAAGTTTATTCTAATACTACTTACAGTATAAGTTCACTTTTATTTTTAATAACTATTAAAAGAGATCATAAATATAAAAAAATTTAATTGTGTATTTTAAAGAATATTTTTTTTTTCTGCATATGCATACTACTTTATTAGAAAATTACAGTCCGTTAGACCAATTTGAAGTAAGAGACTTACTAAGTCTGGACGCACCCCTTTTAGGTAATACACATTTTTCAATAACAAATATAGGATTATACCTTACAATTGGAGCATGTATAGCTTTCTTTTTCAAAGCATTAGCAACTAATTACAATAGAGTTGTATCTAATAACTGATCAATTAGTCAAGAAACAATATATGCAACTGTACATGGTATAGTTGTTAGTCAAATAAATGCAAGAGAAGGACAAGTATACTTCCCATTTATTTACGCATTATTTATTTTCATTTTAGTAAATAACTTAGTTGGAATGGTACCCTATAGTTTTGCTTCAACAAGCCATTTTATTTTAACATTCTCACTTAGTTTCACTGTTGTTTTAGGTGCAACTATTTTAGGATTCCAAAAACATGGTTTAAAATTCTTCTCTTTATTTGTTCCAGCCGGATGTCCTTTAGCCTTATTACCATTACTAGTATTGATAGAATTCATATCATATCTTGCTAGAAATGTATCTCTGGGATTAAGACTTGCTGCAAATATCTTGAGTGGGCACATGTTATTAAATATTTTAAGTGGATTTACTTACAATATTATGACATCTGGAATAATATTCTTCTTCTTAGCTTTCTTGCCTTTAGCATTTATTATTGCTTTT